TAGTTGTGAATCAGTTGTGAGAATAGTTGTGATTCTATTTGTGAGAATAGTTGTGAAATCAGTTGTGACTCTAGTTGTGACTCTAGTTGTGAGAATAGTTGTTAAAAAAGTTTTGACTGTAGTTGTGAGAATAGTTGTGATTCTAGTTGTGACTCTAGTTGTGATTCTAATTGTGACTCTAGTTGTGAGAATAGTTGTGACTCTAGTTGTGACTCTAGTTGTGACTGTAGTTGTGACTCTAGTTGTGACTAGTTGTGAGAATAGTTGTGAAAATAGTTGTGACTAGTTGTGAGAATAGTTGTGACTGTAGTTGTGAGAATAGTTGTGAAAATAGTTGTGATTCTAGTTGTGACTCTAGTTGTGAAAATAGTTGTGATTCTAGTTGTGAGAATAGTTGTGATTCTAGTTGTGACTCTAGTTGTGATTCTAATTGTGACTCTAGTTGTGAGAATAGTTGTGACTCTAGTTGTGACTGTAGCGATTATTGTCTGCACTGTGGTGCTGCAGCTTCCTGAGTGTATTTCATAATAAGAGTCTGGCTTGTGGTGGCAGAGCTGCAGACATGCTGGAGGTTCCTGCTTATTACACGGTTGTGCTGAAGCTATTTCTGTCTGTGTGCTCCACCTTCTCCTCACCGCCGCAGTGAAACATCAGAGCTCAGGAGAATGTTGTCTGGAGGTAACATTCTCCTGAGCTCCGACATGTAACACACTCATTGAAACTGTTTTCATCCATGAGCTTGTTTTCCATGTTGATAACACGCCGTCACTTGAGGCCTCTTAAGTTAGATTAGTGACATCCAATGTCGTGTTACTCTCTCGAACGGCAATCACAGCTTCCTGTTCAGATCATTGAATGGTTAGAAACACGGCCTCCAGCTTAGTGTCCATGTGGAGAAGATACATGATGAAGGACGCGAAAGAGCAGAACCCGATCACACATCCAGCAACCGGGAGAGCTCCCTGAACGCCGACCAATCACACGGACCTCTGAGGTCCAGCAGGCTGCGAACGCCGCTCCTACAACACGCTGCTCCTCCGACACACGCCGCTCCTCCGACACACGCCGCTCCCCCGACACGCCGCTCCTCCCGACACACGCCGCTTGTTCGGAACACGCCGCTGGCTCCGAACAAAGCCGCTCCTCCCAAACAGGGGGAGTCCCTCGAAACACGCCCGTTTCTTCAAAACGGCCGTTCTTTCTAGCGCTCTTGGACCCTGGTTCTTAAGGCAGATGTTTCCAGTGTGAATC